CGCTCTCCGCTGACTTCCCGGGACATGGCTACGAAAGAGGCAGAGGCTTGGCTCTTAGTGCAAGAGACACTGAAACAGGCGAGACAAGAGAACCAGCCCAGTGCGGTATCCCCTTTACCACCGCCCATGTTCAAATGTTACGTCGACGGATCGGGGAAGAATGGAGACCCAACGAGTGGGGTAGGATGGCTTCTACACCTACAGGATGGGGAGATGGACCTTCTGGGAACAAGGGGGATGCGACAGAGTGAATCCCCGCTATACACGGAGATGCAATGGTGTGCCTACGGAGGAAACATTGCTATTGTGCGGTGTTCGCTACCGACTCCCAAGAGCTGATTGCTATGGTACAAGATCCAGATAAGTGGCCCCGGTTCAGGTCAGAGTTAGACAAGTTGACGATCATTCGCGAGTATTTCCCAGACTTTACCATGGTGTATTGCCTAAGGGAACAAAATGAGAAGACGGACCTCCTGGCTAGGAATGCTCATCAACGACAATTGGTTTTTTCTAATATTAGCACTTCGGTTCTTCATTGGTTTTCCGATACTACGGTATTCGGTTAGACAATAGGAGAAGTGTGTTCGTGAAAAAAAAAAAATATCTATTCAATGTTGGTATGATTAATCATACACACAAATTAAAAAAAAATTGTTTTTATATTAAAACATATTTTATCATCTAAATAAAATTCCAATAGAAAATTAATCTAAAAAATATAAATAGTTTTATTAAATACATTTAGTTTTGTATTGATAACTAAAAAAAATTATATACTTTGAAGAAAAAAATCTGTAGAAAATCAGATAAAATGAAAGAGAAAAATCCACCAAATTCATAGTTAGTCAAACGATAATAAAGGCAAGCATTCATCGACGACTGTTACAAATTAAATACTCCAGTATAATATCAAACACGTTTTATTCATTAGCTGTAAATATTACTAAATAGCATCAATAATGAAAATGAATAATTTTGCTTTATGTTAACTTAACATATAGAGAGGAGTTTGGCCATCAAAATAGCTAACCATCGTTGACTTGTGTTTGATATGATCGATTTTTGGGACAATTACAATAATTTCAATAGTTAAAAAAATTTAGCTTGAACATTTGAAGCAGCAAGGGGGTCATCTTCTTGCTCTTACCCCACAAGACTCTGAAATTAGCCTGAACTGTTTCGGCTATGAAGATTTTCGTTCACCAAGTACAGAGGATGCATCTTCTGTTTTGTAGCTTAATGGTGCCTATTGGCATCGATGTGTTTTTGCTTTTTGGTTTTACGGTTTGGATTTGATGGGCCTATGGCCTTGTACCATTCTATTTGCTTCAATAAAAATTTTTTTTTTTGAAAATGTGATATTCTTGAAAAAATAGTATTTTTAAAAAATGACATTTCAAAAATTCTCTTGATTCTTTTTTCATCATATGATTTTTAAGATTAATTAGAATTGAAAATAAAATATTTTTTCGTCCTGGAAAAATAATAGATTGTTGAAAAGAGTTATCTACCAAATTTCTCTAAAATTGTTGGGAGAGATCACTTTTCAAACTTCTTTTGCTATTTTTTGTTTCTTTTTTTGTAGAAAAAGTAAGTACTACATTACTTTTGACATAATTGGTAAATATTAAATAACGAGAGTATGATGGAGAGCTTAAGATTCCCTTAGATCATGATGATGGATAGTTGAACAGTTAACATTTCCATTCTAGAAAGGAAAATACGGTGATTAGTTTGAGTAACTAGACCATAGATACTTTCTAAAAATTATTTTTGTGCTCCTTTGTTTTTTTAGCAGCGTTTAGGCTCCGAAAATATATTGTTTTCTGTCGGTTAATCTTTGGAGATGTTTAGTACTCTATCATGTATTTCAACTTGCAATTTTATTGTTACATAACAGATGAC